GACTGGGAGAGTAACAATTATTTGTATAATTTGTACAATTTCTACAGAACAAGAATTATTTTTTAAAAGGTGCAAAACTGGAAAGAAATTAGTCTATACAGTGCTAGAAATGGCACCAAGAGAAAGACTTCTGTGATGGGAAGGAGATTAAGGAGATTAAGAGAATGTACCTTTTGGTGTTTAGGAAAGAGCTGATGCAGAACAGCAAACTGAAAACATAGCTTTTGGAAGTATGTACACCAGCTGCTCTACTTTTGTTTGTATCTGGCAACTGAATGACTATACTGAATGTGCAATAAGTGATTTTAAGGGAAAAAACAGATAGTACACCAGACTGTTAAAATGGACTAGAGAATAACTGGTCCAAAACTGAACAACACACTTGGTTTCAGGTGAAGTTTGTGAATGGAGAGAAATCTGAGGGTTTAGGGTAGAGAACTAGACTCTGAAATGCACAGCATGAATCTAACTATCCAAAGGTGAGGGCAAGCTTATAATCAGTTTGAATTAACTACAACTAATAACTGAATCACAGAAAGGCTGAGGTTGTATGGGGCCTCTGGAAAGCATCTAGTCCATCCCCTCTCCTCAAACAGGGCCACCTAGAGCAGGTTGCCCGTGAATAGGCAATTAATACACAGTGACCATCTTCTCCTGGCTCCAGGATGAGAACAACAATAGTTCTGTGCTCTGGTAACTAACTTGCCACCCAGAATGGATAAAGTTGAAGTCATGGTCTCAGGAGCTGGTTTCTGCCCCAAAATAAAACAGTTACAGGGTGTGAATAGGTGGATCTCACACAGTGTGCCTCTACACCGGCATTCGATTCAAATCAGGAGAATGCTTTTGAGCATGGTCTCCTGCTAGTTGGAGTTATGTCAACATTTGCTGAGTGCATGAAGTAGATTCCTTCTTGGTGACACTCAACCCAAAGACCATCTCAGAGTGCTTCACCTGCCAGAGGGTTTCCAATCCATAGAGCCAGACTGGAAGTTATCCAAAGTAACCCTCCCACCCACTCCCAAAATGTGAGTAGTGTGGACACTGGGTACTTGGCACCAAAGGTTTTCCTCTGCAGATCTGTTGCTGTGGGTCTGCACTACGTGTTAATGCACATGTAACCACAGAACACTGACGGTGGCCCTGGAATTAACTCTGAACCACAAAACATTTGAAAATTCACCTAGTATATAATCAAAAGGCTGCAGCAGATAAGTTCTTTACTAGGTCTGGCTTCCCTGAATGGCCCTTTCTATGATCTCTGTTTTGTGATGAATTTAAGGATGACAGGGAAGTCCTGGAGTATGTGAAGTTTGCAGAAACTCTACACTCCAAAATGGGTAAAGTTTACATCTTCCTCAAAAAAAACCCAAAAAACAACAACAACAACAACAACAACACAAAACAAAACAAAACAAAACAAAACAAAACAAAACAAAACAAAACAAAACAAAAAAACCCCTGATAATAGCCTGTACAATGGAAAGGTATAAAATCACTCAAGAAACTTTTGAAAGACCAGACACATCATGACTTCATAATCCTAAGGAGAAAGTAACAGTAACTCAAATCTACTGCCTCTTGTAAGTTATCCCATAAGGTTGTGGTCCAAATAAATAAAATGGGATACGGGATACAACTGGGATAATTATCATGAATAGCATTTCAGCCTGTCAATATCTGGGAACTGTGGAATTCAAGGTTGCTAAAAGAATATTAAGTAATGAATGTCTGTAATGAAAAGTATTTCAACAAGAACATTAATATTTCTTAAAAGATAAAAAAAAAAGATGAATCCCAAAGCCATCTCCTTTGAATTGCGGCAATGAGACTGAGCAAAGAAAAATTCTAAGAATGTCACTAAAATTGTTTTAGGTTGACGTGAAAATCATCACTTACCTACAGTAGTTAAAATGCCATTGCATCCAATCAGTTAATATTTTTTTCTTTTGTCTCCCCCTCTTTTTTTTTTTTTTTCAGTCTTAGTATTTTAGACTTTGTTGGGATGAAAACTGAAACCGAAATAAGGATATAGTTCATGTGTTAAGCTAAACTTCATGGCAATTTCCTACGGGAAGGTGGTTAAAACAATACTCCTACAACAACCATGCAGTATACCTCAAAACAAAGACAGGAGTAAGTAGGTTTTTTGCAATTAGTGATATTCCTATATCACCTATAGCAATTATTAGTAATATATCACCTATAGCAATTACCTGCTGTTGCATTAGGGCAGGTAGTTTGACCAGCTGTAAGAGAGAATTAGGAGAACAGAATGAGAGGAAAATTTGATGAAAACAGAGACAGAAAAACAAGGGATACAGTCAGCACAAGCGTTTGCCCTTGAGAAAAACAGAGTGAAAACTGACTGTTTGATAGAAAATGGACTTGGAGCTGGTGTGAAGATGCCATCTTTGTGTCATGGGAAACAAGAGTTTGTCCACTTTCTTAGACAATCGGGACTGTATCAAAAATACTTAATGCAGTCATTAGTCATTAGCATTACAACAACAATTTTTAGGGGAGAGAAAGCTGAGAATGGATATTGTTTTTCTAACAAGTTGAGGTGAATTAGATCTGAAAGAGGCCAAAATAAATATGACCAGAAATTAGTCATGGGGAAAACTGGCTGTTTTCATTTTCAGCTGTAGATGATCTTTCCCTGCCAGTTGGGCTTACTGACACTTTTCTTCCCTTGCATTTTGTTCTTGAAGCTTGAGAGCTGTGAGGACTCCCTACCTCCTCTCTTTCCTACCCAGACAAATTGTTCAGCCCCCACCAGTAGCCTGAAGGGAAATATAGAGCTGAGACAGGGTAGCTGGCATAGTCAACATGTCCCCAAAACACCCCTCATGCCCAGGATGCAAAACTTCATTTTCTTCACTGATACAACTAACTTTCAAAAGACACCTTGAATTCTGCAGTAGTTTGGACCTTATGGGCTTCACAGGAGAGTAAACAAAACAGAAAATCTGAATTCTTCTGTTTGTTTGTTTGGTTGGTTTTTTTTTAGTCTCCGTGTTTCTTTGCTCAGCTTTTTCAAGCTCCTGACATGATACTGCCTGATTACTTCTGTAAAGATCCCATCACTACTTTCAGTTATTTTGTAAAAGCAAAAACATGGCTCATGGTTTTCTGTACCTTTTTTTAAACCTAGGTCTATTATGTGTGCACCGCATTGCATTATTTAATGTACATCATGTAAGTGTATTTTTACATTATTTCAGTATAAAGAAAAGCAGAGATCAAAGAATTTTGACTTTCTTATTCAAACATAGTTTCCTTCTTTGTTAGAATAATACAGAAAAGATTCAAAGGTGGAAGGAATGAAACATTCTTTTTGGTATAAAGACATCTTTCTGTTTTTACCTTTATAGGGATGTAAGCAGTGATAAACCTGTAACTACTAGGCTTAGTAAACTCATTCTATGGACTCATTTTACTTTTCTCTCAGAATTCACACCTTAATGATAGACAGTTTTCACCACCTAGTTTTAAATTATCATATTGTTATTCAGTAGGTAGACTACAAGAAGACCTTTGCGTCAAGGTGACCAGGAATGGGATTGGCACCTGTATGTTTCTATGTAATGTCATATTTAACTTAGAAATCTTTTGTTAAATTCAGATTAAATGTTTATTTCTGTGCAGTCTCTCTTTTCTCCAGCTGTGTTGTATCAGGGTCTAATTCTAGGAAGTGAAGAGCACAAGGCCAAATCTCAATGAAATGATCATTATTTGTGCTTGTCAAGCACATCTAAATCATTGTACTACTCCATCATCTCCTAGACGTCAAGAGAAATTTTTAAAGCCTAACCCCTTGTTCATAATTAAACTTGTGATGCGAACTCCCCTCAACTTTGTAAAAATTAATTTTCAGAATCAGAGTAGAAAAATTTATAGAAACATACTTTTATATGGATTGAATCAAAACTCAAGATTGTTAACCCCCATCCTGGATTTGCAGCTTTCAGTTTAGGACTACCCTGTGGAAATAACAAGCATTTGACAAGAAAGGAAAATCAGAACATAACAGCCACCTTAAATTAGCAAGTCACTACAGTATTTGTATGCTCAAAGTGACTGGTTTTTTTTCCCCCAAAACAGTTAAAACATATTTAACCTATAACTAAGGCTTCCTGTAGAAAATTTAGCTAAACAGAAGTACCTGATAAAGATTTTCATCCCCAGTGCTGAATTTTCCTATATTGCAAGTTCAATCCACATCACAAATTCAGCTTTCACATCATATTTGGGTCCTATTTAAGGAGATGATTCATTAGTTAGTAAACAGGTATATATTTCTAAAGCTTGCCTGATGAAAATGCTATTTTATCAACATTCATTTATTTGAATGACAAGGTCATGTGTCTTGGGCTTTTAATTAAACAAATTCAAGAATAATCTAGTAATGTGTAGGACTGTTGAAATATTTGAAGTAGTTTACAAATTTACTTTTCTTGGACAGTCTTGGAAAAAATATAATTGATACTGGCTGATCATAAAATAAAAATAAATATATGTAAGTTAAAAAATAAACCAGTTTTCTAACTCCTGTATTCCATAAAAATAGGAATATAGCCTTTTATGAGGAACTGCCAAAAGAGCCATGAAAGTGCTATACCTTCTCTGTGGACACAAAATTGGTAAGTGTAAAATATGCTCTGGGAGGACAGTCACTGAGGTAATAGCCTATGTGAAATTAGAATGAAAATACTAGTAATGAAAATTATTATTTTTAGAACAGAAAATGTGAAAGTCATTCACAAAATTATTACATCCAACTAATTTACATTTGAATGTGCCTTAGTTTATCTCACATCTCTTTTACCACAGATAATAATTCTACAATAGCTAAAAGTAAGGGAAGTGACTTTCAATTATATTACACAGTGTATAAAAAATGTCCGTGTTAATGCCTGTCATACAATCACATCTGTTAGTTTTTTTAGTAGTGTTTTGAAGACTCTCAATCAGTTCCAGCCCCCATACCACCCCCATCAGCGTCCTCTCCTTCTTCGCTGGTTCTTGCTTGGGGTCTTCAGGAGACTCTCTCGATATTTCACATTTGTGTGAAACAGTCGGACCATTTCATGGTCTTTGTTATCCAATACTCTAGGCAGAAAGAGAGATGATTTCTGTGTCCTGCGAGTTTTAAAGCCCCTTCTGGGTCGTCCTTTCCCATTGATTGAGACATACCAGAGTCTCTCTGCACTGGCTTTGCGCTTGGTGCCAGCTCTGTTGGGTACAGTCCGGTAGAGACGGGATGCGTAGGTGTTATAACCCAACTCATGGATCCTCTCCACAAACTCACATTCTGTGTTATAATTTTCCTGTAAAGCAAACCACAAAGTTCAAGAAAGACTATATGGGTAATAGCTCTCTTCTATCTCAGTAAGATTGGACTAAAGTCTTAAGCAAGACTCCACGCAATTTTAGGATAAGGGTAGCAACACTTGTGGTAAGAAAAACTCAGACTGGTGCTACAAAAGGTGAACAGAAGAGAAGTGCTGAGCATGATCTGCTGTGCAACAAGGTGCTGCCTGTCAGCAGTGTGAGCATACTCCTTAGATCAGAGACAGAAAGAGGCCAGAAAACAATTTCACAACAAAAAATTGTATGTAAATAGAAATTAATAGCTTTTCTGATTGTTCAGCGGTAAATTTAATTTTTTTGTGCTTATGGATCTAAATACACCTGTGAACAGGACAAATTATTTAGTTGCTGCTTATCAACCTTTGACATCTATTAAAAAGAGAAAAACGTATGGTTTAATGTAAAAAGTGTCTCTTTCATTGGTGTATTAGTAGTTAGATACACCTGCAGTCTGTTATATCCAGTTTGTTATGGATATTTGAGCAGTAAACAACATCTTTACGAAGCTTCTTTGTTTGCTTCAGCATAACAAAATTAAAGTACACCCTGTCCACCAGTGTGTTCCTCCAAAACACTCGGCTGCTCCTTTATCACAAACTGTGAGGCAGAATACACACCCATCCTCAGTGCTCACATTTTACATGATCTATCAAAATCTGCGCCTTTTCATTTGGTCCTCAACTGAGTGAAAACTGCAAAATCCTTGCACAAGGAACTACTTCCTCCTCGGTGGAAGCAGTAGAACCAGGACCTCCCACACTGTACATATTTTCTTAACTACAGAATCATTGCCGTACCTGTGTGATTGAGACTTCTGTATCTAACGTATGTTGGGCACAGAGGCAGAGGGGAACTATTACTGTAGTCTTTACAGAGGTTTTTTATTTTGTATCACCTCTCTGAAGGACATGAAAAGGGCACAGGTAGCCAGACTGGGGCCAGAAAAGCCATAGGCTACATTAACAACATGTTTTTAATGCTGTTCACTCACCAGAAATGCTGATAGGCATTTAATAAGATTTTAAAAGACTCCACATGTCTCAGCTTCACAGCTGTAAAACGGAAGTGCTCTTCCTTGCAAGGACAAGGTTTTCATATGCTGTGGTGCTGGAGCCCACGCAACTACCATATGTAGGTAGATTTGTCCTGCTGTCTGCCTCCATTCTGGTTGCAGAGGGTTTATCACAGAGGATAAACCTAGAGTGTTATCACAATCTGCTAAGGACACAGGAATGCTGCAGACTCAACATATTCATTCTGATTTGTAAACCAAGGGATAATAGAGTGATTCAAATACTGTTTCATAAAATGCTCCCTGTATAATTATCCCCAAAGAAGTCAGTCTTATTTGAAACAGGGGCCTTGCACAGGTTCCTGGAACAGTAATATCAGTAAAGTCCTTCGTCTGTTTTTTTCTAGGCAAAGCCAGGAAATTTCTCCTAAGCTGAGCCCTCACCCCTTGCTGCTTCTGTGAAAAAAGCTGGAGTGGAATAGTCTTTCCTGGGTTATCCCTCCAGCTCTGAAGCACAAGTCTGAAACAATCTCTCTCAAATTTGAGATGGAACAGCAAAAATTACCTTTTCTAGTTGTACAGAAACCTTTCATGGATGAATATTCCTTGGCATGTGACAGCTGAACAAACTTCAAGGTGGTCTGATGTTCCTCAAACTAGAAAGGGAAGTCCAGGAGAAAAGGATTCTCTGGGCTATCCTACTCCAGGCTTTTCTCCACTCTAGAAGAGGAGTTTTTTGCTCAGAATTTGCTTAGTCTTATTTTAAATCAATTTAATTAATCTGGAGGAATAACTATTTTGAACAAGAAAGAGGGAAAGATGAGAAAGAACTTGAAAATTCATCCTTCCCATTAATTACTTTGGGACAGATCCTGGCCCTGAGCTAATGGAGGAGTTCCATTGAAAAATATGTCCATTTTAACCAGAATATTAACTGGAAGCATTGGAGTGGCCAGCCTTAGCCCTGGCACAGCAGAGCTAGTATGACCTTATTCCACTTCAGCTGCATTTTGCTTTGCCAAAACTGTTTGTCATCTCCTTCTCTGCACCAGCAAAACCCCATCATTTTTAGACACTGGCCCTTTAATCAGTGTGTATCACGAGACACATTACAGAAGCTGGGTCGGAAACACTATTAGAACACTCTTGAAAAGGTGGAGTAAAACACATTAAACCAGGGAGGTGACTGAGTTGATTGTGTTACCTCAGCTGAATTCACATGAAAAAGCTCATATTGCTTGAAGTTATATTATGCTGTTCAAACCAACTGAATTATGTATAATGACTAGTTGGAGGAAGCAAATTTCACATAGCCATACTTTACTCTCTTCAAATCTGTTTCCATACCACTGGATTGCTGGAGAAACTGCACAGTATGGCTGTTACACAGTAAGAGATCACAAGATTGCTAGGGATGTAATCAAAGACAATGGAAGAAATTCAAGTAGGTAGATAATGTGTATAGTATACATGTTGACAATTACGCCTTAGTATGTCCCTGAATGTGAAGAAGTCTAAGCTAAAGTATTTTATTCACTGAGGAGAAATATTGGCTGAGCTGAAAAGGAAAGACTCCCACTGATATCAGTAGAGCCCCGATTTTACCTCAAAGATCAGGACAAAAAAATGAGGTCAAAGGAGTACAATAAGGTGTTTATTTTCACTTTTATCTTCTTGTACCTTCTCATACTTCCTTTCCTTATTATAGCTCTGCCTTTAGTACCTGTACATTCTTTCACTGCCCAACCAAATTCTCTGTTCAAAGAAACTCCCATCAGCAGACTACTTTAACAGAGATGCTCATCTGCTTCTGGATGCTCTTTGTCTGAGATGTATATCCTATGCCAATGTCCAACATCCACATCAAATATAAATATGGATAATTTTGAATAGAGATGGACATTCAGCCCATAACTTTGGCCATATGAAATACCCATGCCAAACACATTCTTCTGCCTTTGCCTATGCATGCAATAAGAAAGTAAGAACACAGCTTATTTCCACTTTTAAAAATATACCAATAGGTTGTCTGTAACAACTCCAGACATAAATATGTTATAACATTACTCTTTTCTCTATAAAACTTTATTTATAAGAAATCAGTACTCCCCGCTGGACCTCTTCTCCCCGTAGGAAATTACACATGCCAGTCTTAAGTAAAACTTACTGATGCATAAAGCCTGCCCCTTTTGTTCATGGCCAGGTACCTGCCAGAGAACAAGCCCTTGATGGCAACGATTCCAACATCAACAGCAGTTATTTCAAGAATACCTAGAAACAGAAACAATTATGAGATATGTTGTTGCTCACCATCATGTGTAATTTTCTGAGATACTTTTGAATGACTGCTTACCTGAAGAGTATGAATTCACAGCTATCACTAGCTCACACCAAAATCATAGTGCAATCATGTGAATGAGACAAGACTATTATTTTAAACAATATAAACCAATGATATTGCAGGAATTATTTGAGACAAGCTTGACAGTAAATCCCTAGGTGACTGATTGAGATTGAACTCTTTCAAAAATGAAAAAGATCTGACACTGAACTAGAGGTTCACTTAATCCTATATGTATATAAAAAAAGTTTAAATCCTCTTTAATGCTTAGGAACACGAGAGCTCTTGACTCATTGAAACCAGTCACAAAGCTGTCCATTTCAGGACAAAGCCTTTGCTGAGGTCTCCAGAGGGTAAAGCAAAGTGGGTCGGCTGCATTTTAGAGCCATGTATATAATCATGAAAGGAACTTGTCATTTAAGAGGTCAGTGTAGCCCTCCAGACAAGGACAATATGACTGTCTGAGCCAAATTAAAAGGGAGGAGATTTTCAGGCCATCAAAGATGGGGTCTCAAACACAAGAAGAGTGTCACAGGCAAGGCTGGCACAATACCTGCCAAAATGTCCATGTCCAGCCAGAGGTGGCATGATGCTGATGGAGGCACAAGTGGCTCAGGAGGAGTTGTACGTTCAGGGCTCTCTAGCTGGCTCACTCAAACCCTGCTCTCAGTTGTCCAGTCGTGGCCCAATGGCTCAGTACTTTCTATGAGTGTTTGGAGGCAAGAGGTGACCCCTGAAGCCAAACCTATTGCTGCCTTTTGGCAATGGTAAAGCAAAGCCAGGGGCCTGTCCCCTTTGTAGAGCTGGATTGCTGGCCTGGCCATGTCTGAGAGGGTTGGGTGGATTTGGTACAGCTGTTTTGAATCAGGCACCAATTCGCTGCTGATTCGCTGCCTCCTCCAGGCTTTGATAACAAGGGGGTTTTCCTCTAGGAAATAGTGGTTTTCCTTTATGGACTTCAGACAGATCCCCGAGGTCTCCCTATCTTTGTGTGCCATCACCAGCCGGGATTTACACTTCCTGGGGTGGTGGGGCCTGGGCGGAGGCCGGGCTGGGTGCGGGGGCGCCCGGGGCTCCCCCCCGGGACAGCCGGCAACGCTGATCCCCGCTCTCCTCCCTTCTGCCGCCCTCGCACAAACCCCCTCACTCCCGACATATCCCGTTTCATCTTAATTACCTCTGATTCCCGGCACATGTCAAAGGGGACAGATGTGATTTAGCCCGTGGAAGCTCAAGCCCCCCGCGGGAGACAAGCTGGGGAGGGACAAGGGAGGCAAGGGCAGCCTGCAGCCCGTCGAGGAGGGCACTGAGAGTCTGTGCCCACGGCCCGGGCTGGGGCAGAGCTGGCGTGGGAAGCCCCCGGCGGAACGAGGGCAAGTGACAGGTCGGGCGGGCTGCGCAGGGCAGGTTCCCGGTCCCCATCGGGGAGGAGGAATTACGGATCTGGGGGGTCCCGTTCTGTCCTGGGTGGACTGAGCCCCCCTTCGCCGCCGGCTGGGTATCCACACCTCACAGGTCCCGCTCGGCAGTCCCGGGCCAGGGGCAGAGGGGACTGCCCCGTCAAGCCCGCCAGCCCCCGGGGAAGGAGCGGGAGCCGGAGGGTGCGAGGGCGCGGAAAGGGAATTGCGGGGTCCAGCGGGGCCGGCTCCCGAAACGCCGAACCCGACGAGGGGAGGGGGCGAGAGCTCCGGCAGCCGGGGGTGCCCCCGGTCCCTGCCGAGGAGCCCCGGGCAGGAGGAGAGGCGGGAGCGGCTTCGCCCCCGGCCCAGCACCGCCGTCGCCGGCCCGTTGATGCTGGAGGAGGTAATTGGTCCGGCCGAGAGATTCACCCCCCCCCCCCCCCCCCCCCCACACACACACACAGCCCGGACCAGGGGAAGCGAGATGGGGAAAGGTGTGTCCGGTACTCACTGAAGACGCTGTTTTTCTCTAGGGTGCCGTTGATCTTGCCGTTGGGGTGGATCTGAAGATGGTATTTGGTGGCACAGTAGAGTTTCCTGCGCCTGGGCGCTCCCCCGAGGTGCTCGTAGACGCCGCCGCGGCCCCCCGCATCCCGGCGCGGCCGGGGGGCTCTCGGGGAGGCTTCGGCGGCCCCGGGCACCCCCGTGGCCCGCCCTGGGGACCACGGCTCCTGCAACAAACTCAGGAACAAGATCCAAATTATAACCATTGTGGCATGATGGCCGCAGCGCTTAGTCTGCTGGGGAGATCGAGGCTTGGAGCGAATGACACCAGGGGTCCCATTAAAGTCGTCTTGCTAGAAGCACTCCAAAGTTGCAGAGCACACACTGTTTCGAGCCGTGAAGCATTGGCAAGTTTTTATCAGCCTCGATCTGGCCCTTTTATCTGTCTCAGATTTACTTAAATCAATAGACATCAGCAAAGGCCACCGAAGAGTCCCAGCTGTTTGTATTAGATGGAGCTGCCGTGATCAGCCTTCTCCTTGGGTTTCCAGATAGACAGACGGCATGCATGAGAGACAGAGAGGCAGAAGGAGAGAGAGAGGGAGAAAGACACCCGCTGAATTTCAGCAAGAGACTGTGGGGAAAATAGTTGATCGACGGAGCATAGAAATAAAAGCAGCTTCCTGCAACAATAGCCTGATCTGCGACCAATTGATACAAAGCAGAGGAGGCAAAAGGTATCAGTCTCGTGTGAACTCCCAGAGTGCAGCGTGGATAAAATTACACAGCATCTCGCCGCGCCACGCCGCACACCCGCACACCCCCGCATGGGGGGCCGGCTGCGGCCGCCGCCCGCCCCGCGGAGAGGCGCGGTGCAGCCGCGGACCCTCCGCCGGGTACCACCACCCCCAGCTCAGCCCGCGGCAGCCGGGAGAGGGGGGGAGGGATTGGGGGGGCTGATGCTCGAAGCAAACATCTCCGGGAAGTGGCTTATGAAAGTGCGCGTGTTCAGCGCAGAGGCGTAAGAAAGGGGGTGCGGGCCCTGTTTTCTTGGGAGGCTGGAAGGTGGCGAGCACTTTTGAATGGCTTTCGCTCCGGCAGCAAGGCTGCTTCAGCCTCCCCCCCACCTTCGTCACCGGTGTCGAAAGCAAACAGTTATTACTAAATCAATCAGTTCACGGTTACAAATAATACGCATTATTTAGCTAGGTCTTTCAAGATTTAGTAATTTCTAAATTAACTTAGACAGAGTAGGGCCCGGTGAGTGTTATGATACGCGTCCCTGAATGCATTTTCAAGAAATTGGAGCTAATCCTTTTTCTTAACTCTGGTGCCTGGTAAGGCTCATTAGCTATAGCAGATCTGCACTCGCTACCATGTAGCTTCACACAACTGCCTACGCTTTCAAAATATGATGGAGCTACCTATAAATAAATATAAAAGGCGGCAAAAGGTTCAACAGCTCCGTGAATTACGCTGTCCCTGTGTGCTACTCAAAGGCAGCTCGTTAATTAGATTTGCATCTGAAACAGGCAGTAGGAGTTTTGGGGAAGTGTTTGAGAGATAATTAGTATTAATGTGCTCGAAGGGCACACAAATACACCTTTGAAGTGAGTCACGTCAGAATTCAAGCGTTTGACCTTGATCAATGTATTATTTTTTCCCCCAGAATCGGTGAACAAGAAGAGGTCTATAAAATATTTTTAAAAGACATTCCTATGTACAGCAAGACGATTTTTTTACACGTTAAATATCTTTAAAGGAAGGAAGCTTTTACTAGTGGGAAAATAAGGGAAAGGATACGACCTTTTCCTAAAAGGAATGGCAGAAGGACGAAACGATCTCTAAAGCTACTTCCTATTTTAAGCTGCGCTTAATATTTAGTAGTTCTCCAGGGCTAAAAGGCTTTTCATTATATAGTCGTCTGGAATAAAAGGAAACACATAAAAAACCCACAAGCACCCCTCCGCCATTACCACCCCTTCCTCCCCCTTTTCTTCTCCACAAGTTAAGCCTTAGCCTCACAAGGAGAGTTTGATCTGGGGATGATAAATGTTTGTACAATTAATTCTTTATTGGTGTTCTTCTGCAATGCCACTTCCAGGCAGTCATGTAGTTCCAGTATATTTACTAAAAGTGAACCATTGGAAATTAAAGTAATTAAAGCACCGTGTCCACGTAAAAAATATGAAGACATAAGCATGCAGGACCCCAATCTTGGAGTGTATGCGGGGCGGGGGGGAGGGGATCGTTGCTTGAGGGGCAAATCCTTCAGTCCCTCCTAAAACACGGACCCTCTGAAAACCCTTCCTCTGGGGATGCACCCCAAATCGGGTGCCACGGACTTGCAGCCTCTGACGAGCTACAAGACAAAAGTGATAGAAGAAAAATAACTCTTAACATGCCCTGGGTTTCCTGAAAGATGCTTTCACCGGCACCGTGAGAAGGAGATAAAACGTAATTACTTTCTGTAATTATAGTGATCTCCTCCGAGTAAATCTCAGGGCTCGTACCGAGCCTAATGCATCGCCCTGTACATGTGCGGCTGACATTTTGCAGTTTTAGACTTGCAGGACATTTTTCATTAGTGCTCTGAAAAAAATAATCCCGCAAGATCCTCCTCCCGCCCCCCACCGCAATAATAAACCCAAAAGACTAGTGGGTGGAAGAGTAACACGTTAATGACTTCTGCTCAAATTGCTTCCATCTTGATCACATTTTCATAATTAGCACCATCATCTACAAATCTTTCCGCCCTGGGCATCTGACACAGCCAGGCTTCCCAAGCGATGTGTATTCTTACTTATTAGGGAGGGGAACACTTAGAGGTCTATCATTAATGGTTCCCTTTCAAATGAAATGAATGCGACCTCCACGGAAATATCAAAAGGCTGTAGCTACCTTGTCTCACTTGGTACAACACTGAATAGCAAGCAACCTTAAGTCGTTTTGCTCTAGTCAGACATCTATACAATAAAACATAAGCCCACTCTTGTATATTTTAAGTTGTCTGGTGACCATTTTTGAAAACAAAAAGGGTCCCTTTGATGTGGTCCAATTCTAACAGGGGGTGGGACGTCAGATGTGGTCTACCGATTCTTTCTGGAAATATTTTTAATTATGCCCCAAAGCTCCTTGTAGCCCCAAAGTAATAATCAGAGAGCAGTTTGGGTCTGTTACTTAATGTGGAGGGGAGAATAGGCTCTAGACCGTATTACAATTACATTAATTAGAATTACAACAGATAATTATCTATTAATTTGCTTAGAAATGTGTGATTTTGAATGGAACGTGTTAGGTATCTATTATTCTTGATGCCTGATCTTGCTAACGGGATATTTTAAAGCCTTCTTTCAGTTAAGCCTCCAAACCAGCATTTCCCCTGGCAAGGCACTGAGTAAAAGTGACTATTTGAGACAGATGTTTTTACCCTTACAGTGTGCATGCTGTAAGCACACAAAGCACTTGTATTCTTAATTGATTACCCTCGGAGAAGGACCGTATTTTCGGATATGTACGTCTAAGATCTTTGTGATAAAACAACGCATATTTCTATTGAAGTATTCTATAAAAGTAAGCAGTGAGAGAAAAAAAAAAAAAAAAAGGCAAAGTTTTCAAAGCCTCCCCCCCTTAAAAAGACTAACTGTAACCTGTAATAAATTTTACACACACACATTTTGCAACGATTCGTCTTTAATGCTGCTGTGGATCAGGATCTGATTTTACTACGCGATCCAACTGCAGCCACCGCGCCTGCCCCTCGCTCCTGCGGCCCCCGGCGCTGATTTACAACCGGCCCGTTACTCTAACGAGAAGGAAGTTACAATTTGTAGAGCAATAAATACCGAGGCAGTGGGTGGAGCCCCCAGCAGGAAAAAAATCGCCTTCCTTCTCCAATTAAAACTCCATCCTAGCTCCAATGTGGACCGTGGGAAGGTCTCAAAGAAAACACAGCCCGGGTGATTATTAGGTGTTTGTTTGCAATGTGCTAATGTCATTTTCTGAACATAACTGGCCTGCCCGATGCAGTTCGCTCACACCTGCTGATATTGGGAAGGGGTTATAAAATTCAATTGATTTTATTCAGCTATATTTTGTTTTCTTTGTGGTTTCCTAGTGGGGCTATTCTGCACCCTGTGAACAATATAATCTTGTTTAAATGACTTTCCAGACCACACAGCATCACATTACCCTATTCTATATGTGTAGGCAATACTGTTTATTGTATTGTACACTAATAACTCCCAGAAAGCAGGATGAAGGGAGAGTGGAGGAGGAAAGTTCCGGGGAGTAAATTCATAGCTTCCGAGGTTCAGGCTGCTTTTTTCAGATGGAGAAAATAAGATTTAGAAAATTTCAAATGAAAATAGAAATAATTCTCCAGAGGAAATGTTAAGCACATAACAGACATATCAACATTTCTCCCTTTATCCACCCCTATTAAATGTTTTTCATGTTTCCAGTAATTTTTTATGGCTTATGGACAAACAATATGAGATCTTGACATTTAGAATGATTTTGTTCATTCTATACCTATTATGTGAGCTACTGTTATATTGCACTTCAAACAATAAATTAATTTAAAGTTTTAAAACTTCTGTATTTAGGTTAAAATCATGTGTGATTTACTGAGATCACTGAGATCTGCTAACTTATCTGGTATATGTATATGTTAATTTGTTGTTGTTGTTATTATTATTATTGTTATTGTTATTAATATTAATATCAAGATGCAAATGCCTAAATTCCTTACTCCAAGAAATTTCTACCAAAGCTGGCAAGAGTTTCTTTGGCTGAGGATCGAGGGATTAATCCTTCATTCAGAGTCCATGGAATTTACTAAGAGCCTTTTCTTTAACACCAGTGAATTTGGATCAGGCCCAATCTTGTTACTAGAAAAATTATTTTCCCTTGTTCTTAGATAATCTCTTAATGGTTTACTGAATTAAAATATTCAAAACAATGAATGCAGCAACATTAAACAAAATTTTTATGTCTTTTTCTTCCCTGTGTTGCTTACTCCTTTTCAATACAAGAAACAAAAGAAACAGTAGAAGAAATGTTACACTACCAAAATATGTGCGACAGTGAAGTTTAGATGACGGTCACGTGGCTTGTAAAGATTTGTGGCAGGCTCAAACCGTGCTACAATAGGGATATTCAGACCAATACAGAACTGTAAACTGCAGCCATGAAAATAACTAAACACAATGGATATGGGGATGTTGAGGAGAAAGGGAATGTAAAAACAATACAAATGTAATTT